TTGTTTGAAAACTACTTTTGTAAAAGCCTTACACTAAGAAAAAAGAATGCTAGGGTATGAAACAGTAAGAAAAAAAATGAAAGAAAGAAGTAATACCTTTATCAGTTATACTAGAAGTTACTCTCCAATCTTACCGTCTTCTAAATATCCTTTCTTCAGCCTACACTTTTTGACACTGTGTACTGATGATTGCAATGAGACATGACATGCTAGAACATATGTATATTCTCTCTCTCATTTTTAATAGAAAGATTTCCCTTATGACATTGTTAATGCTACAACTTTTATTTAAACAGCCAATTAAAGTACAGAATCTCATCTATAAGCATGCCGTGCTTATATAATTTATATGACTTTATTTTGGTTGGTTGTGGTTGCTATGTTGTGTGGTTTTCACTGTTTCAGTGGACAACATCAATACTAAAGTGGTCGATACTAAACACTGCATTCAGACAGTGAGTGTAGTATCCGGTATTATTAAAGACTCTTACATGTCACTATTACTTAATCCCTAAGAAGTCCTGGAAGTATAACAGGGTCCCCTTTTTTACTTTACAAACTCTAAATTTAATAAGGTTCTATTTAGTTAGTCCAGAATCATGTCAAATTTTGCAACCAGATGGGATATGCAGGAAAAAAGTACTGCAACACTACCATGAGAACCACCTTGGCTGCTCTCCTAAAACATCAGTGCAGAGACCCAAACTACTTCACTTGCTACCCACAAAATGGATGAGGTAAGGAAGAAACCTTGCATTTAATATGACCTCTGGTTGTACTTTTACATATCTTAATTATAAAGGAGCTACTCTCATCACCGACATATTAGCTATTTTATCATTCTTACAACTATAGTAATAAGTATTTTGAGAAATGCTTCACACTGTAACAAACTTGAGAGCAAATGTATGGATAGTTCTTTCTTTTTTTACCAGGCATAACAGGCCTGTCTGAAAAAAAAAAAGAGTTATGATATTATACATAAGGAATGAGTAAGAATCATCGCATAAAGAACTTTTCTAACTTTTTAATGCACAAATGTGCCTCTACGGTTACCTAGTCCAACTTGCCAAGTCATCTGCACTCTAAATACAAATAAACTAGAAGTTAAATTTTGATAATTATGACTTTAATAATGTAATTTGACATGACAGATAAATACCTATCAGAAGGCACTATTAGGCAAAAAATTTTAAGCTACACTCTTCTAGAGATTTATATTTTCCTACACAGAATTTCACTAAAAAACATAGTTGTTTTCAAAAATGTTTTGTAAAACTGCCAACTTCATCAACAAAATGTGACTCGTAACACAGCTCTTAAAGATAAAAAACCCAATGAATCATCTAATATGAAATTATAAATTTTGAAGGTTTAAACAAACAGGAGTAACTTTCAGTACAATGTCAAATGTGCTATCGGTTACAAAATTTACAAGGCAAAATAAGCACAAGAAATGCTCAAATGCTTGATAAAAACTTTGCAAATATCCACTATAGTATAACCAACTTTCCCTGCTTATCTTTCTGTTATCAAGAGAAATACTCTTAGTTTCACCTTGAAAATAGCTCCCAAAAACAGTTAGCCTTTATTAAAAGTCATAGCCACCAACTGCCTTGTTTAGTTCAAAAAAAACCACATAAATAATGGCCATAATAGTAGTTTTATCATAAAAGAATACATTCTCAATGACACAGCATGTCAGTTAATATTCCTGTTCCATATACATTATGTAAGACTACTAGCAATTATTTGCTTATGAAGTTCCCACTGTGTAACCTACTGTCCTGACATATAATACATACCCTTTCACTTTCATGACTATCCTGGATTTGAAGATAAATTATATGGTCAACCTAGATATTATAATATTTCATATTACTGAGCCATATGTTTTAAGGACTTTATGATTTAATTTTACTTGAAAAATCTAACTTAAAAACTTTGAGTGATTCATACAGTTACCCTGCCAGTTATGCACTCATACCAACATCACACAAACTCTGTTGCTGTTTAATTCACCTGTTTTACGATGTGCTTTGTGTATTCATTTAATAACTTCCTCTGTCTTCAGGTAGCAAACAGGATTGGAGAGATCCTTTCCTCTTAGCCTCACATCAAGTTCAAATAATTCTTTTCTTAATCTCTGAGGTACTTTAGAATCTTTTAAATTACATGTATTTAAAACAATAATTAGGTTGGTTATGGAGATGCATGTCTATGATTCCAGCAATGAGAAGGCTGCAGCAGGAGACATGCAAGTTCCAGGCCAGCCTGGGCTACATAGCAACACTCTGTCTCAAAAATAAATCAGCAAACAAATACAATTGGTTACTTTCTGATCCTTTTTATGTACATGTTAAAATGTTTAACTGTGCATTAAATATTGTATTTAAGACTAATATGTTTGTGGTCATTTCTATGAAAACTAAGTATCAGACAATCATTCTTTTAATAGTAGGTATGTGTCTAACTCTGATAATAATAATGTCTTTTAAGGAAATCAGATTTAACCTAACAAAGCCCTAGAAATGGACTTGAGTTAAGAGCCGGAAGATCTCAGTTGAGTGTTGGTCAACACACCAGGGAAACACATAATCTCTCTAAGGCACATGTTTTGCTTCTGTAAATTCGCTCAGCCTCACAAGATTATAAGAACCAAATCAAGAAGCTCAAGCATTTGCCTATGCCTACTGTTTAGGTAACTAAATGAGCAAGATTAAACCTAGCAGAGGCAAATAACTATATTCCTTAGGAGAAAAAAACCTCTGGTTGAAAACATTATGCCATTTACATGTACAAAGAAAAGCCCAAGTAAAACTAAATGAGCCCTAATCTCAGTGCCACCACTTATATTCAGCTATGTGACAATGAGCAAAGTTACTTAACATCTCTAATTCTCTATTTACTCATCCGAAAAATTACAGTAACAGCACTTATCTCATTGTGAGAATCAACAAATCCAAATAAAAGATATGAGCACTGTGCCTGCACATAAGAACTCAGTAATATTAACTATAATAGCCTACATTAATGTCTCTTTTCAACAACAAATCCTAAAAAACTATTTTAATAAATGAAAAACTGCACATGCATTTCATGAATTTGCATATATATACATATATATATACATATATATATATACACACATATATATCTTCCAAAAGGGAAAAAAATCACTTAGATGATGCAGGTAGCGTTCCATAAATCTATGTTAATAGTGCAGCCTAGGTAGATCATCATGACAACTAATATGAACTTTATTTAACACTGGAGAATATTTTTTGTCTTCAAAAGAACACCATGGTAGCATTCTGAAACACATTTAAAACTAAAATTCTAATCTAACATGTCTGTGGTTATTCATCTCCAGAACAGAAAAGTCACAGCTACGCATGATATACACATTTCTAAGTCCATGTAGATAAATCAAAGGAAAACACTTCCTTTAAGGCAAGCAAATGAAGATACTAAAACAACATTCCAATTAAATATTCATTTATTCAATATTTCAAAATAAGAAATTTGGATATATATGCATAATTTACAATTCTATAGTGAAACCTGTCTACAGAGGCTATTTTCACTGTATTTCAATAGCATTTCAACTTGAAATGTACAATGCAGCTTCTCTCTGAAGTGTTAAAACTGTAATTCACTGCAAGCAAATGCAAAATAAAGACCATGTGCACATGGCACTCTGTTGCTTAAATGACTACTTTCACCTATTCGTTAAACCATTCAACCAGAGTCCTAATAACTATACCATGTTATGAAACAGAATCAGCAGAAAGAAGAAATTATATTCTTTGGTTAAAAAAACAAACTTCACATAAAAGAATTATTAGCTAAAGTCAAAAAAAACTGTATCTTGCATTTATAAAGATCTTTGTCCAGTCTAACTCATTAAAAAAAATTAAACTTTCCATAAGAGGCATGAAATGAAATAAACATGTCATTATGACTAATCTAAAAATGTATATAAACATCATACTGTTTTTCCAAATACCCATATAATGGGGATTTAAATAACAAATACTATTATCTATCAAATTTATATCTCAGGGATCCTAAGCTAAGTTGGGCTTCATTTTTCTGAACTTTCCTAAAAACATTCGAGTCCTAAAATAGTTGCCACTAATATTAAACAACTAAGACCCCATCATTTATTCTAAAGAAAGTAAGAAATACAGACCTGCCTTTAGAGATACAAAGGATAATATGGACTTAGGGTTTACATGTTCAGTCTTGGTTTTCAGATGAAAGGACTCTACAATGGCCATGCACACAACACTGACATTTTATCACATACTAGTAACCCTTAACAAGTAAAGTTACAGCTAAGAAAGTGCAACTGAAAATTTATCACTATCATAAATTATAAAAATAAAATCCACGGGCATTGCAATGAATATACTTTTTGCCTTAGAGCTAATACTTTAATTTTCAAGAACCACAAAGAAAAAAAAAAAAAAACCAAAACTAGTCAGTAACAATGCAGCGTCTAAAAGCAATAAACTCAAAATTAAGTTATAAATAATTTAAAGCATGTCATGAAGATGTATTAATAATTCATAAGATAAATAATTTACTAAATAATCAAATAAATAAATAATGAAATACATAAATAAATCAGCAAATAAATAATTCTGCAAAATAACCTAAGCAATAAGCCACCCAAACAAATCACAAACTATAAAACTACAATGATTTTCTGGATTCTGATAGTTTTAAATAAGCAAATGTACATAAACTAGATCAATCCTTGTTAGAATTAGAAATATTTTTCAATGCTATTGGTAAAATCCTCATCTTAATACATAAGAGCACATTTTTAAATTTTTAAGTGACTGCACAGAATTCATTTCATGAATTATTAACATGATTATAATTTATCCTTGTCTATATTTTGCATAGAATATCCTTAACATATTTTCTCTCAAACAAGTAGATATATGAAATATTCTTAACTAACACTTCTTTTTCAAAGAGATACTTACAGTATGAAAGTGTTACAGTCTTTCTGACAGTTTTCCTGTCTTCACCATGTCATTAGAAATGTTCTGCAAGGGCACACAAAAGCAATAACCTTTATAAGTGATATTTCACTCACTAGTGGACAATGTTTTATAATTCTACAAAACAGCAGCAGGAACTGGAGAGTACTAGTTGAAAACTATGTCAAGTTTTTAGTGGACTAAGTTGAACCTCATAGGGTCCAGTTTCCTCTATTGGAGCTGACATACAAGCTATTACAATTGGCAAGATTTCAGATGTGAAGAAAAAACTTTAAAGGACAATGAAATTGGCTGACATCTAATGCTACCTTCAAGCTGAGGAGCCCAAAGTCCTTCAACGAACACAATGAGATCATATAACTGTTGCAATCTGAATTTAGTCACAATCTAGTAAGACCACCACAAGGAGTTAAAACACAATCGACTCATAAACAGTCTTCATTTAACATTTATCTATCCAAAGCATAGCTTTCTTGCAATCTTCTGCTCAAATTTTCTATTAATATGAAAATGTCCAGAAAAGTCTTCATTTTTTAAATGCATATTTTCACTTAACATTAAAGATACAGTTTTCTTAGAAGCAGTACTAAAATATAATAAGTGTAGTCATAATATCCATTTTACATAAATACAAGCTGCACCGTGAGCATATGTACATACTTAGTATATATTATACACAGATATAGACTATATCTAGAGGAAGACTGAGACAATACAAAATTAGCAGAATTAGAATAGAATTAACTTAAATGATAATAGTGGTTTAGCTCTGGTTTTAGGAAACATAACTAAATTCCACTTCCTACATATATTTCATTACTTTCTAATTTTCTACAAGGAACACATATTATACTTATGATTATTTTTCATGAAAGATTTTGGTCTCGACCAGGAAGCAATCAGACACCCTGTAACAGTAGTTAGATTCAGGCTACAGTTTATTACTTGGCATTTACTTATTTTTTTAATGATGTGAGGAATTACAACTGGCTGTATCTTTCCCTATTGAGGCAAAACATACACATCTCTTTTTAGTTAGTAGTAAGAAGCCAAACTCTCTATGCCCAACTTGTATTCAACTTACTAGCATTCACATATCACATCTGTCAGCTTTGCACAAGTCACTCCTAACCAGATGCTACATCCATCATTCCTAACAATTTATTCAGACATATTGATTACTTTGCTCATCTCACTCTGTGGAACTAATCATTTGTTCTTCGTGCTTCTACAAATCCTTCTACTTTTTAAAATGCTCAGTTTTTTAAAAAAAAACTTTTACTCTATCATACATTTTTCTGGTTACTTATATGATGGACACATCTAACAGAAGTTACGACTTTCATGATTTTTATGACTAGCTTGCACATCTTGAATTCTCCAGTTTTAGTGGAGAATCTCACAATCATAATGCATTAACTCTGTTGTCTCAAAGTCTCATAATTATCATTAATACTGAGTCTTATAATTTATAATGTTTCAAAGTTCTAATTTTCTAGTGTGATTCATTTTCTAAACCCTGAGTAACAGCCCATAAAAATGAAAAAATAAAAAAGTAACATTTAAAACTACCAATGAGTGTATGAGGTTGACCAAAATGCAAAAAGACAAAAAAAAAAATGTGAAGCACATCATTCCAGCTGTCTAGAATATGGAAAATTACATACACATACAGAAAAAGAGAAAGAGAAGTGTATATATTCAAATGATAATAGCAACAACAAAAGGCAAATGTATAATTAATACTATAGATATGCAGAGAATCCAGAAGGTAAAATGTCACAGTACAGAGGGATATTAAGGTAAGAATCTTGACTAAAAACAAACGCATAGGGTTAGAACAGTGGTTGTCAACAAAGGGAGATATTGTCCCCAGGGGACATGTGGCAACATCTGGAGAAACTTTTGCTTATCATGAATGGGCGATATTATACAAATCTAGTGGGAAGAGGCCGAGAATGCCATTAAACATCCTATCATACATAAGACAACTCCCAAGAAAAATTAATTATTCCACCCAAAATGTCAAAAGTGCTAGGGGACTAGTGAGAGTTAAAAAGAGACAGCATTTAAATAGGACTGAATGATCTGAATAGAACAACTGGTGGCTGCAATACATGTCTTTAATAATAACATGGCTAATGAAAGAACAGTGAGGAACAAGATTAGAAAGTGTATCTGGGGGTAAACTGTGATGGCCTGTAAAAGAAATCTCAAAGACAAGAGAGATACAGAGTTATGGAAATGCAATCACTAAGAGGAAGTTACAGGAAGCATAAATACGAGGATCTTGATCAGGCCTGCCTGGGCATAAATGTGAGATCCTATTTAAAAAATAACCCAGGCAAAAAGGGCTGGGGGCATGGCTCAATTGGCAGAGCTCTTGCCTAGGAAGCACAAGGCCCTGAGTTCAAACTCCAGTATCAAAACAAAAAACCCTACTTATATAGGTATCTTCTTGTACAAAAAATGTCCCCAAACTGTAGCCTTTTCATTTGTAGTGATTCTTCCTTAAAACAAGAAAGTTGAGTAAGCAAACAAAATTTTAAGTAAGATAACAAAAACTTGGTTACTTTTTAAATAGATTATTAACTAGTAAAAGCAAAGTGCAAAGATTTTTTTAAAATTTTTTTTTGTTTTTTTTTTTTATTTCATCCATATAAGCCCCAAAGCCAAAACATCATAATATACACACTGGTGTAATATTTCAGGGGATTTAAAAAACAAAAGGCTAATAGTTCACCTCTATATCTGTCAAAAGGGGATCTGACTTACTACAGGAAGACACTAATAACTGAAATCATTGTTATCTGAAGACTAATTTATAAATTAGAGAAACCATAAGCTCTCCTATCAAAACACCTACATTAAGTGCCCCCAAAAGACACTGAACAATATATATGGAAATGTGACAAGAGAATCAAAATTGGAGTAATCATTAATTTTCTTTCACATTAAGTATATAACCTTAGAATAATCATGCTAACTCCTTTCCTACTCCAAAATATCTCAGTAAAATTTACACCTAAGATGAATGCAACATGTTTATACTACTACTTCTCCAAAAGGAGATGACCTAGATAGTCTAACCCCTCTGCTCAAGCCAGAATCCTATGCCCTAGTTGGGAAAGCACTTATTTTATACTAAAAGGAAACCTTACAGAGTAGGTTTCTAGAGTTAATCAGACATTGTCTCCATTGAACACTGAATGCACCACACCATCAAGGCTAGCTTTACCATATACATACACATACTCCAACTCACAGGTTCTTTTGAAAATCAGTAACATTTACTTCTTGTATGGTTAATCCTTAAAATGTATTACATATTACAGTACAGAAGAATAATTGGTAACCATGCTATCAACAGCTTTTTTTGCAATTAAGAAGTGTAGTATTAAATTGCAAATATTAGCAAGAAAATCAAGTGAAAATAGTTCATGCCTTGTTCTCACCTAATTATAAAAATTATCTTCAAAGGTTATGTGACTTACTTTAATTTCTATATAGTTTAAGTCATAACTTCATAATTATATATTTGAACTTAAATTATATTAAATTAAATATTCTGAGTTTAAATTATTATAATTTAGTAATTAAGCCATTCTTATAATTTATATGAAATCCTTCATTTCTAAAAATTAGATCTAATCTAAAATTTTAAGACCTCATTTTTAAAATGAAGTCATTAATTCTGTGTCATGTGTTGATTAGATTGACATTTACACATAAAGATATATAGGTAACCATTTTTGCATTTAAGTTCTAACAAGTGTAAATAAAAATTGTTAAGGGTTATTTAAAGTTTTTTTTAACTTAAATTAGTGGGTTCTTAAACTTTGGGATAATTTTTGGTAAACGCTTTTTGTTTAAAAATTACAAACTGCTATATTATTATAAATGCAATTTTAATGTTACTTAGAGATAATTTAAATTCAAATACATCAGGAATAGTTATTGTAACTTTTAATTGCACTGTATTTGAGATACTTGTTTTAAATATAACATTAAGAAAAAGATTGCAGTCATATACTATCTCCACTTCATTTTACTGTCAAGGTATTCTATTTCATGTAAAAACTAAAAAAAAAGAAAAAAAACTGAAAAACTGGCTATGATATTACATCCATTTTCTCTACTTAATAACATTTGTAAACTGTTCACATTCAAGTGCAAGCTATACCAAAAATGTGAGAAAGAATTTTAAGTACACTTTATGAGTACTTACATTCCTGAATTTAATTTTCTGGATAGTTGCTGAAAAGATTTTATTTAAACTATTATAATCAAATTATTTTTATAACAACAAAATTCAATGCAAAAAAAATGTTTAGATAATAGAAATACTTCACATTTCTGCTGAAGGTCCAATTATTTATATGTATTCTAATACACAAAAATCATTTAAAACAAAATACTTATTAGAAACGCTTTTGTTTTGTTTTTGGTAGTACTGGGGTTTGAACTCAGGGCCTCAGGCTTGCTAGGCAGGCCTCTACCACTTGAGCTATGCCCCCCAGCCCATTCCCAGACTGGCTCGAATCATAATCCTCCCTATCTCCACCTCCTAAGTGGCTGGGATTATAGGCATTTTCCACCATGTCCAGCCTAGGAATTCCTCAGGATGGTTTTCATCTTTGTGAATTAAACACAAACTTAATGATTAATACCATTCAATATAGTTTTTTCACAATTGGGAATCTAAATTAAATAACAAAACTATTGATATTTCTTTTCATAGAATGTCAAGTTAACTTCCTAGACAAGAAGAATACAAACATGCAACATACACGTGGAAGTTGAAAAATTCATGAACTTTTCAAATAATTTAAAATTTTAAAACCATAAAAAAGTAATATTACAAATATCTTTGTTCCCAACAACCTGAATTTATAACCAATAAAATTCACTGTATGTTCTTTAAAAAAAAAAAAAAGAAAAAAAACTGGCTATGATATTACATCCATTTTCTCTATTTAATAACATTTGTAAACTGTTCACATTCAAATGCAAGCTATACCAAAAATGTGAGAAAGAATTTTAAGTACATTTTATGAGTACTTACATTCCTGAATTCACATTAGGAATTCAAAGTCACCTAGATATGAAGCCATGGTTTTGTCACTTTACATGCATTTATAAAAGAATAGAAAAAGTTGAAGCCCATCATTCGCCACCTCAGGGTCATTTAGCTTTGTCACCACTGCCATGAGATCGGTATGTGGCTTCTGAACTCATTTCCTATCTTTTTATTTACAGACTTAAATAGCAGAGTTGTGTTTGTACATTTTCAATTATCATAAGTGGTATCACACTAAAAATACTTTCTTTTTTAATTCAACATTAGTTTTGAGATCTATTGATATATGTATCAACCTACGTCCTTCCTCTTAACTATTATAAAGTACTAAATCACATATGCATTCTACATTTTATCTGGAGGTATGGCTCAAGGTAGAGCATTTGCCTGACAAGCAGTGAAGCCCCGAGTTTAATCCCCAATTCCACAAAAAAGAAAAGAAAGAAAGAAAAACAGATTTCAGCAGACAGAAGAAACATCAGCAAGCTTTAAGATAGTAGTATTGACATTCTCAAGTCTGACAGACACAAGAAAAACAAATCAAGAAAAGTAAACAGAGCCTAAGGGACATGTGAGATACTATCAAATAACCCAGATATTATGGGAGTCCTAAGGGAAGACACATAGAGTAAGGGGACTGCTACAGTCTGAATATGACATATACCTCACAGGCTCATGTGTTGAATACATGGACCCCATGTGGTTGTGCTATTTTGGGAGGTGGCAGAAACTTCAGGAAGTGGGGCCTACCCAGAGAAAGTAGCTCAGTGGGGAGGAAGTCCTTCATGGTATCTTATTCCTGACCCCTCCCTATAGCACTCTCTGCCTCAACCACCATTGAGTTGAACAGATTCCTCCTTCACACATTCCCACCACCATAATGTTCTTCCCCAAGCAACCAAAGACTGAACCCTCTGAAACTGTGAGGCAAAATAAGTCTTCCCTTGAAGCTGATTTTCTTAGGTATTTGGCCAAAGCCACAATAAGTCTGACTAACACAGGGACAAAAAGAATTTGGGGGCCAAGCACAGTGGTTCACTCCTGTTAATCCCAGCTACCCAGGAGGCAGAGATCAAGAGAAACACAGTTGGAAGCCAGTCCATGCAAAAAGTAAGTAGGTCAGATATGGTGGCATATGCCTGTAACACTAGCTATGAAGGAGGCATCAGCAAGAAGAACATAGTACAAAACCATCCCTGGGTCAAAAGCACAAACTCTATCTAAAAAGTAATGAAAGCAAGCACTGTAGGCATGCCTATTATGGTAGAGTACCTGCCTAGCAAGCATGAGATCCTGAGTTCACATCCTAGAACCATCAAGAAAAAATTAAAAAATTTAAAAAAAATTTTGAAGAAATAATGCCTAAGTTCTCTCCAAATATAATGAAAGACATGAATCTACAAATCC